GAATATTTCGTTTGATTAGAACAAGATCTACTACTTTTATCTATTTTTATTTATTTTGTGTAATCGATTTTTGCTGATTAATCGGATTAAATAAAAATCAATTTAAAATTGTTACAATTAAACGATTTTAACTGAGTTTGAAAATTTTAATCGATTTTAGTTTTGATTTTCGATTTTGGTGATTTTCGCAGTTTCAATTCCGATCCCTAATATATACAATACGTGATATTTATTATTTGTTATTTGTCAAAACAAATGAAAAAACTATAATAAAGCAAAGTTCATAGGTTAATAGTTGGGTTGTGAGAATAACATATATATTTTTTTATAAAATTTTTGTGAAATTCAAAGACACTTTTGTCTCTAATAAAACTTACTTAATTTTTATTTATTTATTATGTTTAAATATTTGTTAGAAAGAAAATAAATTTTAAATAATATAATTTATTATTATTTTAAAATTAATAATTGATTTATTAAATAACATTGCTTTAAAATTAACATTTTTCTTAAGATATTTATTATTAAAATCTAATTAAATATAATATTTAGTATCACTGTATAATGAATAAATTGTTAAAATTTGGTAAGACATTATTGAATTTTCTTATTATAATAAATTGTGATCTCAAAAAATGAAGATTTGTTATAATGATAATCAAATTTATACATCTAAAAATTAGACTAAATAGCTGAAAAATTGAGAAAAAATTAGAAAATAAAATATGGAATACATATAAAATTATTATAATAAATAAGTTAGATTACAATTACTAATCTTTCTTTATATTAGTGATGATAAAATAATAGTTATTTATGATTTGGTTAATTAATTAGTTAATTAACTATTAATTAACTATTAAATAACATATATATATTTTTTTATAAAATTTCAAAAAAAATTTTTTATTAAATATATTTATATTTATTCTTTATTTAAATTTAATACATTATATTCAAATCTATGATTACTTTTATCAAAATCACTTATATCATTATTTCCTTCATTTTCACTATTATCACTAATTACTAATGCTAATTTTTTTTTGTAATTTTTAAAGGTCCTTTATAAATCTGAAGATTATCATAAATATAAACCAATTTTTTAACATATATATTTTGTAATTTATTACGAATTTTATTATGAATGAAACTAAAAATGGAAAAATTTCTTTTTGCAACTGCAGATGATGTAGGAATTAAAAGAATTTTAATAGCTAATTGTTGAAGTAGACTAGTTGCTACTATATAGATGAATTAAGAGAATTAGTAAATTTCCAAATAATTTCATTATCATGAAAATAGTGTTTATCATGAAAATTTACCAATTCAATAAATAAATTTACAGATTTTTTTTCACTAAATTTACTTGAATATTTTATAAATTCTGCATAAAAATTGTGGATCTAACATATAAGTTATAAATATAGCTGGATGATATGTATATTTCTATCGCTTTATAACAAGTTCTTTGAGTTTATTAGAAAATTCATAATTTATTTGATTTATTTGATTTATTAATTTTTAAAATTTGAATAAACAGTTTATAAAGTTAAAGTATTTGATTCAAATAACTTTAATATTATAATGATTGATTCCATAATTTTTATTGCTATATTTAATTCTTCCCAAAATCTATTTGATAATATATAATTTCTTAAAGTAAAATCCATTTTTCACAAATAATTAAATCCATTAATGCTTATTCAAATACTGTTTTTGATTTTTGAAGTGATTAAATGCAAATAAGATATATATCCTATCATATAAATGCTAGTAAAATTAATGCAATTTCTTTATTATAATTTTCTCTTTAAATATGCTTTAATTTGGCTGCTGCTTATATATATGTCTTAAAATAATTAACTAATTTTTTTGCATTTTCAATAACAATTTAATTTGATCAAATTTTAAAATATCACTAATTAAAAGATTAATTACATGAGAATTACATCTAAGACAAATAATATTTGGATGATTTTCTTTAATAATTCGCTAAGTTGCTTTCATTATATTTGTAATATTTGTAATTACTGCTAAAAATTTATTAATATCAATAATATTCATTTGTTATATAATTTGATTTACAATCCATTCAGTTGTATAACTTTCTTTACTAGAATAAATTGCATCAAAAAATAATGGTTTTGAAGTACAAGTAATAAAATTTTGAACTGATTTTCTATTTATATTAGATCAACCATCTGAAACCATTGTAAGTGATTTAGCTTTTAAAATTTGATTATCACATTCAGCTTTAACTTCATCAAAAACTTCATCAAATAATTCATCAGCAAGTTTTCTTTGATTAGGTAATTTAAATGCAAGACGCAATTGTTGAAAAAATTGAATAACATAATCATTTTCAAGAAAAGTAAATAGAACTCTAGCTGCAAATAATGCTTGAGCTAATAATATTTCAAGATTATTTGTTGTTTTTCACTCATATGATCAATATAATTATCAATTTTTGTAGTTTTTAATCATTTAATTTGGGTATTTACAATGGGAATAGGAGTAGATTAAAAGATTCCAAAGTTAGTTTGGATTTGAATATATAGAGACCTTTGATGTATATCTTTATAATAATTATTTGATTATCAGGTAATTTGCTAGTTTTTTATCAATATTACTTTTAGTATTGAAAAGTATTGAAAGACTACTTGCATGATTAATTATACATTTCATGATTTTTGTTCTAGTCATTTTATTAGAATTAGTTGGTAATGTTTATTTTTTAAGTTAACGTTAATAAAAAATAAAGCAGGTTTTTATGTTATTAAAATACAACTTATTACTTATTTAGCGATCTATAATTTTTTTTATTGTTTGGACGACGATATACAGTCTATTTATAAGCCGTATCATACTATAATGACGCCATAAAGATAAATTACCAACACTGCGCCAATAAGTCCAATCACGCAATTTTTCATCGAATTACGATATTTATATTTTATATTAGAATGGATTACAAATTAATGATGAAAAAAAAATTTATAAAAACTCGAAAATTTTCTGCCAAAACGAAAAAGAAAATATCGCAAATACCAAACCTTTCTTCTTTTTTTTTTTTTTAAAAAAAAAATAACTTTAATATGGCCCCAAATGTTACAGAAAATAGTGATAATAATTTACAACAAGAGAGTAAAGAATTAGGATTTGGTACAAGAGCTATTCACGTTGGACAAGAACCTGATCCAAATACGGGAGCCGTTATTCCAGCAATTTCCTTATCTACAACATATAAACAATCTGCTATCGGCGTACACAATGTAAAGTTCTTTTTCGCTGTTTTTTTTTCTCCTTCACTTGAAAAAAAAAATAATAATATATAATAATAAAATAAAAAACTCACATTTAGTTGTTCTCCTTCTTTTAGGGTTATGAATATTCCCGATCAGATAATCCGAACCGAAGCAAGTTTGAACAAGCAATCGCATCACTTGAAAAAGGAAAATATGCACTTGCATTTTCTTCGGGAAGCGCAGTAACGGCATCGATAGTAACATCAATTGGGAAGGATGGACACATAATTTCTGTTAATGATGTGTACGGAGGAACGAATCGATACTTCTCCAAAGTAGCAGAAACGCAAGGAATTGAAACGTCATTTGTTGATTTAAATGATCTACAAAAGTTTAAAGAAAAGATTCGATTCAACACAAAAATTGTGTGGGTTGAAACTCCAACCAATCCAACGTTAAGTTTGGTCGATATCAAAGCGGTTGCTGAAATAACACATCAACATAATGCAATCCTTGTGGTGGATAATACATTTATGAGTCCATATTTTCAGAATCCGCTTGAATTAGGAGCGGATGTTGTTGTACATTCTGTCACCAAATATATAAATGGACATTCCGATGTCGTTATGGGCGTTTTTATAACAAACGATCAAGAAATTTATAATAAAATCAAATTTTTACAAAACGCTATTGGAGCTGTACCATCGGCATTTGATTCTTGGTTAGCGAATCGTGGATTGAAAACACTTCATTTACGTATGAAACAACATCAAGAAAATGCTTTAATAATTGCTAGATTTCTAGAAAAGAGTGATAAAGTTGTTAAAGTTATTTATCCTGGCTTAGAAAGTCATCCACAACATTTATTGGCCAAAAAGCAAGCCAGGGGGTTTGGTGGAATGTTAAGTTTTGAAATAAAAGGTGGATTTAAAGAAGCAAATACTTTCTTACAACATACCAAACTATTCACTTTAGCCGAGTCACTGGGAGGTGTAGAAAGTTTGGCTGAACATCCGGCAAAAATGACACATTCCGGTCTTACTCAAGAGCATCGTGATGCTGTTGGTGTTACTGACAATCTAATAAGATTATCTGTTGGTATTGAAGATGCTGAGGATTTGGTAGGTGTAAATTACAAACGAAAACAATTTTTTTTTTAATTTCTTTAACGCTAACGATATTATCATTAATTTGTAGTTGGCAGATATTCAACAATCATTAGATATTGCCGTAGAGAATTGAGAATTGAACAATTATATATAGACATATCTTTATTAGTTATTATTTATTCTAGTTAAATTCTGTAATATTTTAATTATAGACATGTTAAATTTTCATTTCAAATCACTTTTAATAACTTTACTAAATTAAACTCTAAAGACTATTAAAATCCAATAATAAATAATAATATTAAACATTCATTTTGTCATGCTTGATCTGATAAATTTTCAATTTACATAATAAAGTTGTATATTTATAATATGTATTATATAATTTCAAGTAATTTGAATACGCAATTTTGCATATATTTTGACATATTATGCATTATATAAGCGGAAAAAAATAAAAAATATAAAAGGAAAATTAGTATAGTATTTTCCATCAGTTACATTACGCAATCTAAGGGTGATTACGCATTACATGGACGATCCAGAACTTGCAACAATATAAAAAGGTCGGTTATCCTCAAATTTTTAATAAATTTTTTCTTGAACACATTTTTTTTTTTTTTAATATTACAAAATATTCAACATGGCACCCGTTAAATTATATGTTTATGATTTATCTCAAGGGATGGCAAGAGCTTTTTCGGGGTTAATAGGGAATCAAATAGGTAAGTACTTTAATCATTTGTCTGAAAAGGTAATGATAAATATTATAAATTCAATTTCGTATTTATTTCGGATTAGATGGAATATGGCATACTTCAGTAGTTGTTTATGACTCTGAATGGTATTTCGGTAAAGGTGTATTTTCTGATCCTCCGGTAAACTTGAAATTTTTTTCTTTTTAGACTATATTTTTTTTATTTTTTTTGCAACGCTTTTCTGACATCTTTTTTCAAATATTTAAAAAGGGTACAACAATTTATGGGAAACCATTAAAAATTATTGATATGGGGGAAACAGAAGTTCCCAAAGAGATCTTTTTAGAATACATAGAAGAATTACGTGAAAGTTATACTGCTGACAAATATCACTTATTGGATAAGAATTGTAATACGTTTTCTAACGGACTCTGTGATTTTTTAATTGGTCGTAATATTCCTGATCATATCACTAGTAAGTATTTATATTATAGTATGAAACCAAAATAAATTCTTAAACTAAAGGGAAGGGAATAAATACTAAATGATTTTATTATTATTATGATTTTATCAATAGATTTGCCTGCAGAATTTTTGTCAACTCAAATGGGAAGACAACTTCGTCCTTATATTGAATCATACTTCGGACCAAGTAATCACCCTTAATTGTCTTTTTTCTCACCTGAATTGATGATATTACATTTATTTTTGTTATAAGATTAGGCAGCTGAGAGATTTTTGAACTATTTAATTAATGATTCCGAAATGTAAAATTAGATTTTTTTTCCTGATTATTTAATAAAGAGCAATTAGAAAAATTGCGACATGAAAATTTTAAGCGTAAACATCAGTAATCAAAATAAAAAATCTTTTTTTTTTCAAATTCAAATTTCGGACGCGAAAAAACAAGTCATGACGTAATCCTGCGCCAAAAACTTGATCAACATCAGAAAAACATTTATTTGGTTTATCTTCAAAATAAACATTCCTCAAAAAGAAATTCTTTCCTATTTTAAATCGCATTAAGAAATACCTTGAAAAAATCAAAGAAAAAAAAATAAATTTGAAATTACATTATGGTGCTAGGAAAAATAGTTCATTTTGCCGCTGATGCGGTACTCGTCTCCGCTGTATTAGCTGGTATTAAACGATCAACTGGCTTGTCGTGAGTATAAATCTAATTTATTAAAGTTTTAAACAATTAATATATATAAATATATATATACATGGAAAATTTTCTAGGGTTGCAACAAATAATATTGAAAATCAAGAATTAAGAAAAGCAGTCAATAAATTTTTAAATGTTGGTGAATGGGTTGTTGACCAAAGTATTTTAATTATGAGTAGTTCTGCTTATTTTGAACGAAAGCGATGATACAATTAATTAATTCATTGAAAAGTTTTTTTTTTTCTTTCACTTGAAAATGTATAATATAATATAGTAATTTTGTAGTTTTCAGAGAACTAGTTCTGCAAAAAAAAAAAAAAATAAAAATAAATTTATTTTAACATAATATTCATATCATTAACAAAGTTATTTTTGTATCTAAATAACCAACTTTGGTACAAATCTATAATTTAATTTATTTCTCATTTGGAGGAGGTAAATCGCTTTTATAAGTATTTTCTTCTAATAATTTTTCCACTTCAATTTTAACTTCTTCCACGGCCTTTGCATCAATAAATAAATGCGTATCATCCAAATCCTCAATTATAAATTGTTTCCTTTCATTTAATTTGTTTATTACTTGTTTAACGGTTGAATCACTATAGAAAAAAAAAATGTATTTTATTAAAATTCAAAGAAAAAAATTTCAAAAATTCTAGAGAAATTATTACCACTTTAGAATGACACCTATTAAAAAAAGAAAATAGATCACGTTTAGAAAATATTATTTTTAAATCAATTACTTAATTTATAATTAAGAATCACCTTTTAATGCTTTAACCATCTTGTTTTTTTTTTTAGTTTATTTTATAAATCTAATAAAAGTTAAAAAAAAATCGCTTTTATTGAAGATCAAGTCTGAAATAAAATATTTACATGAACGAGAACCTTATTTATATTTATAATGTAAGCCACTCATCAATTAGCAATCTTTTGTGTAACATTTATTGATTATTTTAATGTTGCCTAATCCTAGAAATATCATCTTGAGTAATTTCAATTTCTTTAAGGATATCCAAATACGTTTGTATAATTTGATCAAATTCATCCCCAATAATTTGATATTCCGTTAATTGATTATTCAAATTCTTCATCAAAGCATTTTTTTCATTTTCTTCTTCAACCAGTTTCATTCTAATTATATTCAAAGATTCAATGGTTTCTTTGTCATAAACGTTCAATGTTGCTTGTAATCGAAGAACTTTTAATTTTAATACTATAGACCTAACTAAACCACTAAAATAATCATTAAATGCCTTATTTTTTTCTAATTCATGATGATATTTAAATTCCTCTATTACATTCCATAAATTCTTTAATATTTCTTTCATGACCTGAAGAAAAAGTAAATATTAAAACGTTTCTTTTTTTTAAAATAAAGAAAATTGACTTTCGGAAACCTTACTTTTAGATAAGTTGTAATTCGTTCTCCTAATTGGATTTGATTTTCGATAAGACAAATTTTAGACATTCGTAAATCTTCAAGTTTACGTTTCAATACTTGATCCAATTGAAAAGCCTTTGTTGATAATAACTTTGAGTTCGTATCTAAATAAAGATAATAAATTTTTTAAAGAAATTTTTAATAATAAAATAAATAGAAATCATGAAAAAAAAAAAAATTTAAAAATTACCTTCTAAACAATAGTACAATTTCGCAATGTCTTCACATTGCTCGGTTAATTTGCTTTCGATAGAGTTTAAAATGATTTTTTTAAAATGGTTCAAATAATCTAATTCATTTTCAACTCGTTTAAATAATTCCTTTTCTGTTAACCCTAATAATCTTATTGTCGTTGAATCATCTGCTTCTGTTCCTTTAACATCATTGTAATTATTCTTTAAAGATAATTCTGTCGGACGAAAATTCAAATATTGTTTGGACTCGGAAAAAGATATTACTTTATCCAAAGTTTCCAAAACCTTTATATTCAAAACATATTTTTTTTTTTTAAAACAATTCACCATAAACGCGTCAATACTCATTAGGAATGAACAAGAATAACTAACCTTTTCTTTCTCTTTACACATTGTATTTTTCAAATAAACTTTTAATGATAACGGTTGTAATGCATTATATAAAGTTAAATTTTCCAAATATTCCGTTCTTTCTTTAATAATATCTTCCTATGAAAAAAGAAATTCCGCGTCAAGTTCTTTCCAATTTAATTTAATATTTTACCCTTATTTACCATACCTGGTCAATTTCTTTTTCTAACGCCTTTGTAGTTCCATCAGGTGCTAAGTATAGTGTTTTTAAATGTTCATATAATTCTGCAAAGTTCGGGTTAGCCGTTAATACGGCTTGATTTATTATATCAGACATTCTTATCGTTTTACATTTGTAGAAGTTGAAATTTCGCGTAAAATATTTTGTCGGACTCAAAACTCATGACAAGTTACTTGATTCGGTAATTATATTTCATAATGACCTTTTCAGGACTAGTGAAAACGAAACGTTAATATCAGCAAATTTACATTTCACAAATTTTATAATTTTATCAATGCCAGTGATGTATATATTTTTTTCTTTCTATCTAATATTTTTTATTTTCAAATTATTTATAATACAACCACTATATAATTATTATAAACAAGGTGTTACTGTCATACTTCTTCAACAAAGGTAGCATATTCATAAACCGACGACAATTGTTCTTCTACATGTAAAGCTTGATCTTGTTGGTGATGTTGATGTTGATTATGTTCTTCGTCTTCCCCAATAAAAGCAGCAGCGGCAGATGACGATGATTCCCCTTCTAAATTGGTATCTGACATTACTGACGTTGATGTCATTGAGATTTCATTATCATTTTCCAATTTTTCTATTGTAGTCTTAACTATATGCGTCATTTTTGGATCTAAATTGAACGTCCTTGTGAAATTTTGTAAAGCCCTTGTTTTATCTCCCATCGCTTTATAAATTTTTCCAACGAGAAAATATACTTTGGGTTCGTTTCGTACCATCTTTTTAAGTTTTTCAAGCTCAACAAGTGCTTCCTTAAAAAAAAATGATATTAATAACGAAAAAAGTTCTCGTTTTCAAGAGATGAGTCGCAATATTAAAGATATTATTTACCTCATAGTAATGATCCCTATATAATGATTTCGCTTTTTTGAATATCGCCAGAGGTGTCCGAGGTGTAACTTGACAAGCATGATCATAAAGTTTTCGAGCCTCCTCATTCTTACCCATTTTCTCGTATACCTATTAATTAATAATTGTTAATGAATCTATCTATTACCATCAGAGTCGATCACTTAAGAAAATCATTCTTGCTTACTTTTCCTAAACAACACATTAGGACAGCATGGTTTGGATTAATTCCCATTGCCATCTTATAATGATATTCCGCTTTAGATTTTTTGTCACATGTCATATAATAATTTGCAAGTCCATACCTATTAATTAATATCATATTAATCAATTACTTGTATGTAATATAAACTTCGAAAATTCACATGAACCCACTTACAAAGCGTTATAATGACGTTTATTTGTATTTAAAGCATTCCTAAAATGTTCTTGAGCTTTTTCAAAATTTCCATTGGCCATACTCTCATGACCAGATAAAGTATGTGCATAAGTGAATTTTGGATCTAAATGTATCGCTCTTTGGAAGCACTTTAAAGCCAAGTCGTGTTCTTGTTGTCGACTGAAACAATTACCAACTGCGCACCATGCTTGTGGTGAAAGTCGCTCGAATTCAACTAATTCATGTGCAAGTGCGCTTAATACAGTGTCTTTACGTAAATGCCATAATGTTGTAGAAAATATTTCCATATCTTCTAAACGATATGGTTCCAATTGACGTGCCTTTTGAAAACATCGCTCGGCCTATTAGAAGTAAGTAATGTAAATTTAATAATATTAATTAAACGTCAACCTTTAAAAAAATATATTTTGTTTTACCTTAGAGTAATTGACCATTTCGAAGTGTGCTTTCCCTATATGACTTTGAACCCAACCGGTATTACACTGTGATTCAGGAAGTTCCTCGAAGGCTTTTATAGCTTTCAAACATTCGTATTGATTTAGGTATGCGTAACCTTCAGCTATCTTTTGTAATAATTCCAAAACTTCATTACGATTTGATTTCCAAACAATATCTTCCATTTTATCATAACTATTATCAGGATCTAGTGTAGCTTTCTGTAAAGCTTCAGTCTAAATTCGTTTTTTTTTGAAAATTAATTAAAAGAAAGAATGAAATTGTTGAAACAAGTAAAGAATAACTTTTCGTTTAAAATACCACTTCATTTTCTACATTTACAAATGATCTTACATCTTTTCCTAGTCGATATAGTTTATTTTCATCACCAAGACCACAACTTACATCGTTATTGCCAGTACGAGATCGTTTCTTTTCCCTATTATCTGATGCAGGTGTCGAGGTTAACGGTTGCGTAGCATGCTAATTTTAAACATATGTCGATTGTAATTACTTGATTGACTATGAGAAAATCTCACAGTATATACTAATTATTAGAAGGAAAACAAATACCAACCCTTGTTGTAGAAGACGGCCGTGGAATTCGTCGAACAAGATCGGGTGTACTCCTATCACCATTATGCGTCTAACATTGGCGCATTATTAATATTTTATTAAATTACGTGACGTTAATTATATGAAATATAATTTATTCCTGCATACCGGATTGGAAATAAAAATTTGTGAATTGTATAGTTTGTCTGAACATGGAGTTCTACAACTCATGACCTTTTCACTTTTTGGTTTGAATATTTCGTCAATATCTATCTGAGTTGATTTACCTGTTAATCAAAATTAGAATTAGTTTATGAAAGTATTTACAACCGTTATACAAGAGAATATACCTACCCATTTGACATAAATTTTCAAACGCTTCCCACATAAATGGGTTTATCTTTATGCATTGAACATAATATTGAGCAGCATCGTCAAGACGACGCGCATTTTTACATAAAGATCCCAATAAACATAAAACGGATGCTAAATCTGGTGTTTGATTAAGTTTTGAGTCAACAAATGGATCTAATTTGATTATAGTTGTTAATGTATATAAGTAAGTATGAACTTGGGTTATATTTTAAAGTAGAAAATAAACAAGATCAAAGAATTTTTACCCAGTGGGTTTCGTGTCTCTAAACCACTTACAATAGTAAGTAGTTTCTCTTTGCCTTCTTCCGCCTTATCCAGATCCAAACAACACCTTGCAAATAGATATTTGCAATTAATCGATTCGGCATTGTTCAAAATAGTATGTGCAGCTTTTTGTTGACCACTTCGATAATGACAAGTTGCCAACAAAAAACGCGAATTTTCATTTGTAATATCCTGTGCGAACAACCTTTCCGCGAGAAAAGTTGCGTTTCTATACAAGTGATTTTCCAAAGAATTGCAGATCATGTTCTCCAGCTGCATAAATGAAAGGTGGTTTATGCTGGTCGTCATAATGTTATAGTTACGTAACGAGTGTAAAGAGCGATCACAAAGTTTTATATTGAAATATACGAAGGTTTTTTCTGCGAATTATTTACGGAATAAAATACCAATCCAAGTATTAAACATTTTTATTCACGCGATGTATGCTTTTATTGGCTGAACTTGTAATCGGAATCTCGTGATCTTCGGAATCTAAATTAGTTAGTTTACTGAATTGTAAAAAACTAATAATTTATTTATTGACATTTATGTACAAAACCAATGCTGCGATAAAATTACACGTAGAAAGCCTAATATTAATTGTTTTTGATTATAAATAATTCTTATATCAGATTATTTTCAAAAAAAAAAATAAAATAAAATAAATTTTGATAATTTCAAATGTTCACACATTATCGCAAACGATGGAATAAAAAAAAATTACCTCTATACATAAATAAAAATGAACACCCTCTTGAAAATAAAAAAAAGTACGTAAATAAAAATAACTGATTCTCAAACATAATATTAACCTTATATTAACTGTTCTTTACAGGAGCACAATCTTTTTTATGTCCGTTCTTCCAATCCTTTTTTTGACAATCCTTGGAACAGTAATTTGCAACTGAACATCCAGCACAAATCAACAAATTTTTTTTTTTTTCTGATTCCGATTCTCCACTTACATATTGTCTTGTTTGACTACCACAAGTCTTGCATCTCTTCTGTTGTTCACCATTAGGAGGTGATGCAAGTAATTTCTGAAAAATTGGCGCCAATCTCTCAGCTTCTTTCTTTGAATCCTTTTCAACTTTAATTTCTTTGCTTCCTTTTTGTTCAAATAATGCTATCGCAGTACGTTTAACTTCAGTAATGTCAGGAATGCGTCCGTAAAGATATTTATACCTTTCTTCCGCTTCCTTGGCCTTTTTGTAGTAATTAAGAGCTTGTTGATTACGTAAAGTTTGCTTAACTTTTCGATTTCCCGTTGTAGTATTTTGACCGGTCAGCACGGAAAGAGCATAAAGAGCGTGGGAATAAGATGTTGAATCTTTATTAGCCTTCTCGATATAAATTTTGAAGTTACGAACAGCATCTGTACGATCACCATGTGACATTTGTATAGAACCTTGAATGCTATAAGCATCAACGAAATTAGGGTTAAGCATTATTAAACGCTCAAGGTCTTTGATACAATTTTTGAAATCGTCGGTGGCTAGGTAACACGAAGCACGAAGATGGAAGAGACGAGGATGAAGTTTCGATTCAAGTTGGCTGAGCGCGATTTTCAGAGTCTGAATGCAGAACGGATATTGTTTACCATTGAAAAGGAGCCAAATGACTAGTATAAGCGACCTTTAGAAAATAATAACATTTTCCCAAATAGTGAATCATCATATCAAAAAAGATAAACCTAAAAATCTTTTTTTTTTTTTAAAAAAAAAAAAAAAAACAATCCCACTTCTCCTGATGCTATAACTTACTCTCGTGTGAATTCTGGCTCAATATTATCATGACCATCCTGAGGTGGATAAAGCTTTTCCGACTTTTTTGCCTCAACCATTTTATCTTGTTTTACATTAATATCATCATTCAACTCAACTAATTTCTCTTTATTTTCACTTTCGGCTTCCTCTTTACCTTTCTCTGTTTCTTCTTCAATCCTTCCGCCTTCTGCTTCTTCTTCCACATCCAATTTTAAAAGTTTTTCATATTGTTGAGCAAGTGTCATAATTCTTGGTGACATTTCCGTAGCTTTATCGTCAATCAAAAAAGCTTCAACAAGAAATTTGGTCGATTCTAAAATTTCGTTTTCATGAGCTTTTAAAGTTTCTTTATCAGACTTTTCGGGAATTTTTGATGCAACCTCAAGTCCTTTTTTAAACAATTCTTTGGCTTTAAAATACTTTTAATTTATAATAATAGATCAAATAATTTATTATATTAAAAACTTAAAAAAAAAAAAAAAAAAAAAATTGAAATTGAAATACTTTTAAAGACCAACCTCTTCAACTTCAGGATCACTGGTCTCTCTTCTTTTGTTACGACGTTCCAATAAATCATACTCTTGAAACCTTACAGGTTTATCAATAAATGTATCTTCAACAATTTGTGAAAACCCTTGGTCATGGTGATTTTGAGCATGGTGCTCATGAGAGTGCCCATGGGGGTGCGAGTGGTGGTCGTGAGAATGTTCGTGGCTGTGGTCGTGGTCGTGGTCATGATCGTGACCAGGAAGGACTTGTAGTTCTGTCATATTTGTAAAGAAAGTTACTCGTGAACTATTATTAGATTTGTCGAGTCAAGAAAAAAAAAGAACAATGGGTTGAGTTTTATGATAGGCGAAGTTGAATGAACATTTTTGTGCAACCATGGATCATGTAATTAAAGTTGATTTCTTTTTTTTAAAGTTCTACTATAACTTTATATACTTTACAAATATATTCCGATGAAATTAATTAAGAAACGAATCGAAAAAGATCGCTCGGTAAAAAAAAAAAATTTCCAGCATTAATTTTAATACTTTTATAAAGTGCTTTTTTAACTTATTAAATCGATCGTTGCCTTGTCAAAATTTATTAGGGCTTTTTGATTCTTTGCCCTGAAGAGCTCGAAGATATGTGGCATGTTTATAACCTGATTTCATTAGGCGATCAACTCAAAGCTACAACAATTCGGTATGTAAATTACTTCCTTTATTTTTTTTTAAAAAAAAAATGTTATTATTACATTAAAGTTACCGTATATGCTTTAATTAAATTTAGCCGAGTTCAACGTCAAAGTACTACCGGATCCGTAGAGTCGGAACGCGTTAGATGTGTATTGACAATAACCGTAGATAATGTCGAGTTCGATTCACAGGGTGGCCTATTGAGAATTAGAGGAAGGGTTATTAACGAGAATAAATATGTTAAGGTATGTGTAAAGTGTTGATAGTTTCTAGTTGTATAGATAATAATTTGGGGTGTTTTACATTTTAGATGGGTACATATCATACAATTGATCTTGAAATGAACAGAAACTTCACACTTTTAAAACCCGAATGGGACATAATAGCGCTTGAACGTGTGAATGAAGCATGTGATGTTACGAAACAAGCAGATGTTGCCGCAGTGGTTTTACAGGAAGGTTGGTGCCTTTCTTATTCAATTTATTTTTTAATTCCCAAGCTCACAATGGATTTTTAGGTTTAGCAAACGTTTGTTTGGTCACACAGAACATGACGATCGTTAGACAACGGATCGAACAACCTATTCCACGGAAGAGAAAGGGTTCCGTGACAAATTACGAAAAAGTATTCACAAAATCATATTATTGTCTTTAATATACGCCCCTATTTTTTCTTAATATATTTTGTAACACAAATTATTATTTTAGGGATTGCAAAAATTTTTTGATCAAGTCATGCAATCTATTATAAACCATGTCAATTTTGAAATTGTAAAGGTCATTATTTTGGCTAGTCCCGGTTTTGTCAAGGTAAACTAAGAGCTTAAAGTTTCCAACCTAAATTAACTGAATGATATTATTCTAAAAAATGAAATTGTTAAAAGTAGGATCAATGCTTTAATTATATCTTCTCCGAGGCAGTGGTAAGATATCTATTGTCAATCATATTCTTGCCGGCTAAATTTATCTTTATTACAAAAATTTGGTTCTGATGACTTACTTTTTATTATAAAACGTTGTTGTAGAAACAAGAAAACAGACAACTTATCGAGAACAAATCAAAGTTTGTTCTTATACACTGCTCTTCCGGCCATAAGTATGCGTTGCAAGAAGTATTAAAAGACCCTTCTGTACAGAGCCAGCTTTCCGATACGAAATACGCACAAGAAGTCTTAACACTTGATCGATTTTTCAAGATGTTAAATGATGATCCTGATAGGGCTTTCTACGGATGGAACCATATAAAGAAAGCTGAAGAGAGAGGTGCCATTGGAACTTTGCTGTTATCAGATGGACTGTTCAGGTAATATAATAACTCATTTTCATAAAATTGGACCTTTGGATTAAAAAAAATGATTACGATTTGTAGGGCAGCAGATATTCCGACCCGTAAGAAATATATTAAACTTGTCGAGTCAGTACGTGGCACCGGTGGTAAAGTGCTGATATTTTCAAGTTTGCATGTTTCAGGGGAACGTAAGTAATTAGTTGATTGTTGAACCGTTTTTAAATAAGTTTAATAATTTTTTTTTTTTTAAAAAAAAAAGAACTCAATCAACTTACTGGGGTTGCAGCAATATTAAATTTCCCCTTACCAGATATTGAGTTGGAGGATGAGGAAGAAGAGGAAATCGAACGAGCAGCTGCAATGGAAACAACATAATTTTGTATGTTGAGAAATTATAATTACAAGATTGGACTGTTTTGTGAGGAGAAAATTTTAAACATCTATTTAACAAATGATTCAATAATAACAAAAACAAAAGGCGGATCCATGAAAAGTAGGAGAAATAAAGTAAAATATTATTAATAAATTTTTAATATAACTTGAGAAAGATGTATATTATTTTTTTTATAAAATTTAAAATTTATAGTTCAAAAAAAAAAAAATAAACTATAATTAACTACCAGAAAAAAGTTTAAACGTGGGAAATGTGATCGACCACCACGTGCGTCGATCATTTCATTTAACCGTTTGTATCCAATAGCAAATAAGCAAATACAACATTGTTCGCGGACCCTAATTTTTCTAACCAAAAATGGACAGTTGTTAAATATTTTACCAGATGGCATTTACAGAGTTGATGACTGTAAAGGTATAAGAAGATTTAAAATCACACATTAGGAGCAAATGCTTTAATTAGGTTATTAGGTAAAAAGAAGTCGAAATTTATAATTTAAACATAAATTGAAATTATTTTTAGTAATAAAATTTAATTTTATATTTATAATTAAAAGAATAACTTTGAAACACATCATTATCTTTTTATAAGAAAGATCGCTGCTTATATCAATCTCATCGTTTTTTTGGAGTTAGAATCATATTTTTTAAAAATAAATCAATGACAAAATACAAGATCTTTTATGAAAACTTCCAAACGAAAAAAAATGATTGGTGAAGTGGCAACGTGGCTATGTGGCTTGTACAACATGACAGCGTTTCAACCCCCACCCCCTTAATTATTATACCGAAAAGTCCATTTTCGCTTTATATTTTATAATACGTGTAACTTCCCTCAAAAAAATGTAAATGTACAACTAATCTAATAACATTTTAAACGCGTGATTTCTAATGTCTCAATATAAATACTCTTAAAAAAAACCCTCTTTTACCCACTTTTCCTTTCCTCTTTTTTTTTTTTTTTTCTTTTTCAACTCTCAGCATTTGGTCCTTAAAAGAATAATTTCATTAAATTTCAACAGCATCGAATATAAAAATGGCAGAAAATGTTAGAAATATGATTGCCCCCGCTTTTATGATTATAAATCTCCGTCATCGAAGAAATTACAATAGAAATCTTCAAACAACTCATCGTCAAGGTCTTATAATCGCGAATAGAAGAGGTCGTACGCAAATCAATATTGATGACACCTTGAATCGTATGGCACAATTATCATATCAAACTACAGATAATATATTTGCGGATCATTTGTTTAATGGAGTTCAGTTCCCTTAAAAATGAATATTTTCTCCAAGTAAATTTACTGTATAATATATATAGTGTATATAACAAAAAAAAGCTTTTTTTTTAAAATTCTTTTTTTTTTTGCTTATTTATCTCAGGTCTCAAATGTTAATTGCCAAGAAACTGCTAAGTTTAAACTATTGGACATTTCCACAAAAAAAAAAAAAAAAGAGGAACACAAGCAAAATTTGATATTCTTTTTTCTTTTTTTCTTTCGCGTCTTTCCCAGTGATGATCAGCTTAGCCACAAATGAAACCATCGTTCCTTTCTTTTGCCTCGGTTTCACAAATTTGTATTTTTTTTATTATTTTTTTTTTAAATAACCCAAACCTTTTATTTATTTTATTTCTATTCCTTGTAATTTAATATTTTCTTCAAGTTTAAAAAAAATTATGAAAAATTAATTTTTTACCTGGTGTGTTGTTAATTGAGTTTTACATTCAAAGTATGCATAAGGAAACAATCTGTACTTTATAGTAAGCAATTTTAAAATTTTCATTATATAAGATGGCGGCTACAATATTTATGTCGGTGGTTCCGCTGGGTATTATTGTATTTGGAGAAGGATAATTTTGGAAATACAAAATTACAAGGAAAAACGGTTGAAGTTGTATTATTATAGAAACATTATTTATTTTAAACTTTTTACTGAGAAATATATTTCATATGTATAATTAATTTCATTTATAATAAAATTTTTTTCTCTTATTTAAAAAGAAATTTTAATAGGAATTTAATATTGGAAAAAAAATGTCCGTATGAAGATTGATTATATAAATATATCAATAAAGATATAAAACGTATTATAATTAAAAAAGCAATTGTATATATTATTATTTCAAAGTGAGATTTTTGACGATTCCATCATCATATCCTACATTACAAAATATGTTAAACTTTACTCCACAAGAAATTCATAATTATCAAGAGATCATAAAAGAAGAGCACATACATTATTCATCATAATCCTCTATTATTGCGTCTTCCTCCTTGAAGACTATCTGCAATTTCATAATTAGTGTAAGAATATACCTGATTTCCAACTTTCTTTCTCAAATGCGCTACAATTTTTTCTTGTAACCAAGCTTTGTCTCTTGGAACGTAAGCACTTATCGTCTGATCATATACAAGTGCTGCGAATTCTTTACATTGACTAATAAATCCTATCAAATCACCAACTTGATAATGAATTTGTCCGCGAGTAGGACGTGATTCTGCGAGTCGAGTTTCGTACATTGTAATAATGGCTGTCATTGATATTCAGATTTATAAAGTATTAGAAAAAATCGCGTTAAATGTTACTTTGTAAAATAATAAAAAAAAAACGTGTATCAACTTAATAATTATCTAACTATATGCCAAGAACGTCTCTACCTGATCACCTACTTCAAAATTAACAGTCTTACTGACCTTCAATCGCCAAAGTAATGTTCTCATGTTCAGTCCAGGTACGTGGTTTGTTACACTTTTGGAATAAAAGAAGAGTATGTCCGTTCTATACGTAATAACCTCCTGTTAATTACTGCAAAGAATTTAATTTTCTTTAACAAGTACGATAAATTATATTATAAACTTACCATTTTGAAAAGGAATTTGAAAGGAAATAAAAAATGACTGAGCAAAAGAGAAAGTTTAAAATTCTCCAAACCTGGTAATGGGTGGCGTCTTAAAAATATTTTGAATTTAAACGTGGCGCCCCATGTTACTTCACGTGATTTTGGCATCACTGTTAAAAATTTCGCTTTTTGCGGAATCAATCGAAGTTATAATTATTTTTTAAAAAGATCTCATACCTATGTTTTTTATAATGGGTAGTGGTTGGAAACGAGAAATCAGAGCATATTAGTTCGTATACATAGTGATCATGTTTCTAACTTTTTTTATTATAATTAATCTTTTATTTTGATTTTGATTTTATTTTTGTTATTTTAAAACTAAAACAAAAAATGATTAATTTTCTTTTTGAAAGGATAAACCAAACTTTAAATATTTAAGATTATGATTAATAATTTTAAGTATAAAAAAGTAAATTTTTTTATCTTTTGATACAATTATAAAATATATTATTTAATATACAGTCAGATCTCCATATAGGTTCTGTGCTATGAAAATCGAGGTACGAAAGGTGCAGTATATTTTGAAATAACAATGACAACAATAGTGTTACACAATCAGGACATTTTTGGACCAATAATAAATGTTTCTAATTTTAGGTATAATGATCTACATCACATGATTTAAATGTATGAAAGATAGTTACACTGTTGTATTATGATGAATTTTTGCTATCAATTTGACCCTCCGAAATTATGTTACACTAATATTTTTTTTTTCATTTAGACGAACCGGACGACCAGGTGGTAAGTTCATTTTTTTTTGCAATGGTAAGTTTCGTTGCGAAGCTTCCGTTTCTTTTGTTGTTTTTCTAATTAAGAACGTAACTAACGTTTCCTTTCTTTTTCTTTATAGGAACTGTGAATTTTTGGGATTTAGGAACATTTGGAATGGTATGTTTCGTTATGAAACTTCCGTTTCTTTTGTTTTTTTTTAATTGGGAACGTCACTAACTACTCCCGCCCAAATTGACACCGAAAGAGACCGCTTAATTAGTTTAATTAATGCCACCCAAAATACTTTCACCAGTAACCTCAATGCGATCAAAGATACGGCCGTGGCAGCAGTCAATGCTTGCTGAACGGCTTTACAACAACCCGACCAGACCATTAACGTATAAGATAAAAATACAGTTTTGGCAAATGCTAATTGAGAAACTGCCTTACGAGCTCTAACTACTCCTGCTCAAATTGACACTGAAAGAGACCGCTTAATTGGTAGGAACTGGGGATTTTCAGGGTTTGGAAACATTTGGAATAGTATATTTCATTACGAAACTTCTGTTTCTTTTGTTTTTTTAATTGGGAATGCCACTAACATTCCCTTTATTTTTTAGGAGACCTGGATGAACCGGACGAACCGGATGACTAGGATTTTAAATGAACGAACTATGGTAAGTTTGTTCGTTTTGCTTTTTGATTTTGCTTTAGTGAATGTAATTAACGTTCCTTTCGTTATTTTTTTTAGGAATTGGGGATTTTTGGGTTTGGGAACATATAGAACAGTATGTTTCATTATGAAACTTCCGTTTCTTTTGTTTTTTTTAATTGGGAATGTCACTAACGTTCCCTTTCATTTTATTTTGTAGGAATCAGGCTTGGGATATTTAGGACACTTGAAACGGTAAGTTTGCGAAACTTCCATTTTCTTTATGTTTCTTTAATTGGAAACATCTATTAATGTTCCCTTTCATTTTTTTTATAGATCTGACTTTGGATTATACATTAAGAAATCAAATAAAAATTAATAAATTGATCGTCTTAAAGAAAAAAATTTTTTATTCATTTATTTTGTATTTCATAAGTCTGTGAAAATTAAATAAAAGAGAAAATAAAAAAAAAGTTAAGAGGTTATCGTATCCCATAGCTTATGACAAAATTTTGAAACGAAGATTATGAGAAAATTTCAAAATTAAAAAATAAAAAAAAATAAAAAAATTTCTTTTTAAAAAAAAATTTATCATCCAAATCAACTATCTTAGGATTATAATTCAGATTTATTAACGGATCTATCTGCCTAAAATATCAAATACAGATATCTGATTTTAATTCGTATTGAAGGATCAATTCGGATTTATCAGATTTAGGATTAGATCACTACTTATCACATCAATTGAAGATGCTATGTGAGAAGTTCATCATTTTCTTTTTTATAGATTAGATCTACGAACTTTTAGAATGACTTTAAAGGTAATTAAAAAGGGAGAGAGAATACAGGTATATTATTACTTATAGGAGTATAATATTCCGAATGATAACTAAGTTCTTACCTTTTTATTTTTTTTTATTTTACTTCTTACTTTTCGTGATTTTTTAATGAAAATTTATTTATCTCACATTACTAATATTTCATTTCTACTTTTTTTTTGTAGTTTAGATCTCCAAATCTCCTGAAGCATCCCTTAAAAAAATTTAAAAGGAAATGAAATATTATGAGAGCATAATACTCTATCTCTGAATCTTTATGATTAACAACAAAAATTCTTTCTCTTTAAGCAACTCTATTTTTTTATAAAAATTATAAAAATTATTAAAATTATTACTTTTTACTTTTCAGAGTTTATTTAAATAAAAATTTTTATACATATCTTACAAATATTTTTTATTTTTAACAAAATTTTTTTTAATAAAATTTATTATGAGTTTGATAACACCTGTTTACAATTTCATTGAGTTATAATTAGAAGAATATGAGGAGAATGAGATGGTACTTGACGTGATACATGATTTAATGACATTTTTTAGTGATACTGCAAACTGTACTTGCCAACGTTCTCCTAATAAAAGAAACATAAGAACCTGTTTTGAAAAAGTAGGATTTAAGCATTTTTTTTAAAGACACATGGAATTAAAAGTACTAGAAAAACATGAATTTGAACTTTGTATAAAAACTCAATTAATGACCTTTGAAATTTCAAATGAAAAAGATGAAAAAGATGAAAAATTACGTCATTTATACCGATATAACTTTGATGTATCTTTTCCACTTTGTAAACCTATCTATATAAAATTATGCAATTTAAGTGATTATAAACTTTTAGCTTTACAAAATCATCTTCAAGAACATGGATTAACTGGATGTACTCATGGTAATACTGGACGTATGCTAAGACGAAATTCTAAAGTTGTTGTTAATTTTAATGTAACATCCTCTGTTAAAGAATATTTAGTACAATATAGAACTGTTCATGATTTACCATCCCCTATAAGACATCGTAATGATTCTGAAAATTTTATATATCTTCTAACTGATAAAAATTATACTTCAATTTATAAGAAATATAAAGAACATTTTTATCTTGAACACAATGATGATGATGTTGTCATTTCTAATGCTACATTTCGTAGACTTTGGCATGAATTAATACCTACTCTTAAATTTCAATCTCCTGCATCTGATCTTTGTGAAACATGTGAAGAATTTAAAGCAAAGATACAAGCAGCAAAAAGTGATATTGATAAATATAATGATATAAAAGAATAATATAATAAACATCGTGAAGCAGCAGATCTAAAGCGTACACATTATAATAATAATATTAAAAAAAGCAAACATGATTTATCTATAGCACATATTTGTTATGATTGGGCACAAAATGTAACAATTCCATATTCACCACAACAAGTTGGTTCAATTTATTTTAAAACAGCCTATGCTGTTCATTTATTTGGTGTTTGTAAAACTGAAGGTGGAAAAAATAGACAAATAAATTTTGTTATTGCAGAAGATGAATTTCCTAAAGGTGTGGCAAAAGGGGCTAATACAACATTAAATTTAGTTTATCAGTCAATTAAAACATTTGCTAAAGGTGGAAAAAAAGAT